GCAGCCCGGGCCGCCGGCTCGCCCTGCTGCGGGGCAGCGCGGCCGCCCTGCGGCCTGCCGAGGTGCCGCCCTGAAGGGAGAGCGGGGACCGCCGCGGCACCCAAAGGCCCGGCACCCCGGTGCTGGGGAAGGCAGCGCACCGGCCGCTGCTGCACCGCCAAACACACCGCATCGGGACGCATCCACGGGCCGATTTCTCCTTGCCTTGGCTCTTATCAGGGAGAGTATTCCGCTCTGCTCTGTATCAGCTTTCGTTCGGACGTGCTTCATCGTGGAGTCTTTAACAAAATGAGCTTTGATGTCCTGTAGAACAGAGTGAGACGTACTGCAGATGTGGTGATTAAAGAAAACATGGAGCCAAGTTGGGCAGTTTGCTTAATTTTCTCATCTGACTATTCCAACATACCGTGGGCGCAGTCTTTGGAGTGTTTGGGGAACGTGATTTTTTTTCTTCTTTTAGTAAATATATAGTAAATGTATCTAGTAAATGTATATAGTCCAGTATACGTTTACATCTAGTAAATGTATACAGTCAAAATTTTGTACTTATTATTTGGTGGCCACTATACTTGCATGTGGTTAACTCCTGCTTTTGATATTTTCAAAGCTCCTGTGTGGTGAGAAATAGCCTGTTGAAGGAAAAAACATGTAAATGGTGAAGGGAGAGGCTGGACTACATGCTTGAAGGGGATTATTCCCGAAGTAAGGGCCTTGGAGGTGAAGGGACATACGCAAAACTCAGTATTACTCCTTTTTCTTTTTAAACGCGGGCTTATTTTATTATCAGCCTCCAAGCTTGCTTCCTGCTGTTTGCCTTGGCAAGCAGGTCCAGATGGAAAATGGTGGCAGGTGTGATTCAGATACGTGGAGCCACTCCAGCCTCACCATTAGCTGAAAAAGCATCTTTTCTTACGCCACGTCTCTAGCATCTCATTGGAAACTGGCAGCTGCCTCTGCTAAATTGCCTCAGCAATTTACAACTGCTGGCAAATTATCCGAGTGCTTGTTTGGTTGGCGTGTGCTTTCCGAGTCCATTTCTGGATCCGTCCAACTGATGTGCAGTTCTGCAAGGAACCTGCAAGATCCAATAAATGGAACTGCAGGCATGGTTTTGAGCAAGTTAACTCAGAATCGGTTGGCCGTTGGCTGAAGCTTTACAGCTTATCCATAACTGTTTCAAAGCAGTAGTTCTGTTTTAGTTCATTTTAAA